ACTTCGCCGGGCCATCCACAAAGTCGGTCAGAAGACTTATAATCAATGCTTTTTAAAATGTTTAGCAAATACTTTATACCAATTTATATCGATATTCGAGCATAATTTAATACTTTCCATATAATATCCAGAAGAACATTTGCATTTCGCCAAGACACATATACATATTATCTTAGTACCGGATCTCTAAAATGAACTTTAACTAGAAGAGAAAAGTTTTCTGGAAGAGAACATAAAAATAAGTGTTTATATTGTAACTTAAACAATCGCATGCTTATTTCAACGAGGTAGTACTTATTTCACAATCGACAGATATACTACATAGATAGTTTTTTAAATGTAATAATATTGGAATCTGATTTGCAAAATGCAGAAAATTGGAACCTGAATCGGGAAATGCAGAAAGAGTGAAATAAAGGGACTACATTATTTCTTCATGGAATATAAGCACTTTATGTAGATCCATTTACAACACCATTTGTAGTTATGTTCAAATCACTGCTCGAATTGAAGTATCGTAAGATAAATTATTGATATTTTTAAGTTTTCATTCGAATTTTATGACTATTTTATACATATATATACACACTTAGCAAAAAAATTAATTAACACTAATAATAATAATCAAAATTTTAATTTGCAGGCTCCACCACCACAACGGGTAAGTAATAAATATTTTAATAAGTTTAAGTCTAACGTACTTTAATGTTCGAATTAATGCGTTATTGATTCAAATATTCCCCTTCTTATTTCTACAATTATCTAAAAAGATAAATCGATCTATGTTTTATTCATATAGATGCAATTATAATCAAATTTTTGAACATTGTACATATAATACGACATTGTAAAAAACGATTAAGTACTTAAAGTTGGATTTCAAAGTGAAATATTATATATAGGCGTTTTCTTTTGTAAACATATCGCAAAAGAACGACATAAAATTAGCACTGCTTTTCATGGCAACTCTGAAAACACCAGAAATTTTGTTAGGCTTATATATGCAAAACACATATAAAAATTAATAAATCTTACAATTATGTATAAGAATATTTTATTTTACACATGATTATGAATACATGTATATTCAAGCTTTTTCAAGAATTGAGTATAATTTTTTAATTTCAATAAATTCAAAGAAATTGAGTATTATTTGTCAAATATTTGTTGGTAGGTAACTGAAAATTTTGTACTTACTTCCAAAAATCGTTCACAATAGGCGAATTTTTAGTCTTGGCAACCATGCAAGTTAAGCTACTGTTTAGTTAAGCGGTTTTAAAAATGTTAGAATAAATAAGCCAGCAGTGTTGTTGTTTCATGTGTCATTTCTAAAATAAGCGGTTGTTCTTTTGTGATATGTTTACAAAAGAAAAGGCCAATGTCGATTTTATTAATGAAAATCTATTAGTGTAGCTAAAATGAGTTTGCGTGATAATGTTATTACGCTCAAATATATGAAAGAAGTAGAAATAACTTATCATCATCTATAATACAGTATCATCCTTTGACAACATTCTTATCGTCATCATACAGCATTATCATTTAATATTTCCTTTAACATTTGTTTAAAACTCACTTTTTCTTCAAATGACATAATAACCATGAATAATCATGAATGAATAATCATAATCATTAATATTTTTGGATTTAATTAACTTTAACAATGCTCATATCACAATCACATAAATTTATTATAAATAATCAACCATTCTTTAAATACAACAAAACATATTCCTCTGTTAATTATCATAACATATTATTTCATAACATGTATAACATATTATATCATATATCTAAATGAAACAAATTTCGCATTAGTGTCCACAAACCGTTGCGAGAGGATCTTCTTACATGAATCTACCTCAACAAGCACATGCAGATAGGGTAGGTTGAATGATATAATGCTCTTGAAAATCATTCTTATGTCACACTCTTTCATATACAGATAAGAAGAGCTAGGGAACAAAGAGCATGCGTAAGTATTTTAGTAATTTCAATTTTTTTAATTAGAACCTGAAACATAGACCTCATAAATTCTCTATGCTTAAAACAAAACAATAAAGTAAATTGCGAAAATACATGTTATCAAACAAAATCCTTAAAAAAATTGTTCGAATAGATAGAATTATGTTACTTAATACCGCCTGTAGTATAGTTGTACAGATATATTTTATTTTTGACAGTTGGCAGTTTTATTTTTTACAGTTGACATAAGTAGATGAGTATGAGTCCATAAATTTGTTTTCTTGATTGCTTAATAACTAACTGAGGAAAGTTTTTAAATTTAGTTCAAAAAAGTTTTCAAACTGCTTCTTCTTTTCACCTCTCTTACTTTTTTATTAATTAATTAAAATTACAATTTACTATTAATTTACTATTATTATCAAATATAGTTTTGAAGTAGAATTGAATAATATTTTGATTCTAGGGTCCAGCTCAACAGTATCCTCCAATGCGTTCGGCACCATGTCCCCCAGCACGCGTGCAATCACGTCCTCAGTGCCCACGACCAAGAGTAAGTGCAAGTATTTTTAGAGATAATCAATTCCTTATTATTAAAGCTTTATATGTTATTTGACCTATTTGAAGCTTAAAGCATTTTAATTTTTCGAGTATATCATATGGTGCTCGAGCACTAATTGTTTTGCATATGGAATTGTTTTGTTACTCGAATATCTCCGAATAGTCCGAACATCTTTGAGTAGCTCAAATATCATTGAGTAGCTCAAATATCTTCGAGTAGCTAGAATATCTTCGAGTAGCTTGACTATCTTCGTATGGCTAGAATATCTACAGGTAGCTCGAATATCTTCGAGTAGCTCGAATATCTTCAGGTAGCTCGAATAACTGCCAGAAGCTCGAATATCTTCGAGTAGGTCTAATATCATCGAGTTGCTCAAATATCTTCAAATAGCTCGAATATCTTCGAGTAGCTCAAATATCTTCCAGTATCTCGAATATCTTCGAGTAGCTCGAATATCTTCGATTAGCTCAGATATCTTCGATTAACTCGAATATCTTCGATTAACTCGAATATCTTCAAATTGCTCGAATATATTAGAGTAGCTGGTATGATGATTGAACAGTTTAAACAATAGTTATTACCTATCACTGCTTAAAATATTGTATAATATAATAAAATATTATATATACAATGTTCATTTTTTGAGTTTTGTGTTTTATATTGTTTTTTTGCATTAAATGTAATTAAAATTTATAAATTTGTTAAGGTTCAAATTTTATTGGATTTCAGAGATTAGATTTATATTTTGAAATGATAAAATTTTTTATAATTACTATAGAAATATTTTATGTTCACAATATTTTTTTAAAATATAGTTTTTATATACTATATACTATACAATAATAATAAAATCTTGTATTTTTAGGCTCCACCCCCTCAACGACAGGTAAGTAATAATCTTTTTATGCTTAAAATTTTCTAATATACACATAATTACTAAATATGATTTATAAGCCAACCATACTTGCAAGAACACATATTATCAAATAAAATTAAGTTGATATGATTTATAATATTCATAATGTATATATGAATATATCATATATATATATGACTTTAAAATGTAACAAGTATTTGCAAATATTGTATACTACAAAATATTTTCATTGAACTTAAAGCAAATTCAAAACTATATATGTATATATTCAATTTACTTGGACTTAAACAAAATTGCATCAAATTTTTATTATTAATCGTTTTGTCAAATTTTATGATTTGTTAAATTTGACAAAACGAGTTTCTTGACAAACACAAAATACTACAGTAACTACAATATTATATCTAATAATTGTATGTATAAAATTTTACTTTAGTGTCCGTTACATGGTGCAAGCGGATCTTCTATGAATCTGGCTCAACAACAACATGCGCAAAGGGTAAGTAGCATGATATATCAGTCGTATTCTGTAGCTCCGAAATTAATCAATTATTAATAAATCTTCAAATGATTATTCACCGTACCATTGAATTCATCGCTTGGAAACATTAAATTCTACAACATTTGAGTTACGATTACAAAACTAAGATTGCCAATATTCTAGAATGGTGGTGTTACCATATTAAAAATTTTCGATTTTCGTTTGAATAAACAGAGTATGAGTATATGACTATAGTTGTATAGTTCGCTTATATATGGGTTTCGGTCACTGCAGAACGGCATATTTTTTCTAATATTTTTAAAACAATTTTATAAATTTACATCTTTCCTATACAGATAAGAGGTGCAAGGGAAAATAGAGGATGCGTAAGTACTTTGAAATTTTTAAGTTAGTAACATTTTTAATTTGTTTCAAATAGGCATGGGGATAGGAATATTGCAAACCTTAAAGGACTCATATGGACGGTAGAAGTTCTAAGATTTGTTTTAAATAGCATTGGTAAGAGGAGCGCTACAAAGCTTAAGAAATTTATATGGGTCGTCTGATTCTGTAATAAGGCAATGTACTCTATCTTATAAGAACCGTGATATACAGGTAATCAAAAGATCATCGATCACTACATTTGTTGTTGTTTTCAGCGCTTTTACTTGTTTAACTTGAATAGAGACTAACAACATAGGACAGTTCTTTTAAACACTATTAGCTATTATGAGGCATAGTAAAAACTAAAAATTATAAAAAATATGGGATGGTGAATTCTTGCTACATGACAGAAAAAAAAATTGTGTGAAAATTGGTAAGTGGGATCCTTTTTCAATATTAAGCCGCATGTAGAAAGTGATATATTCAATATTTTTCTTAAAAGATTAGTTTTGCATTTTTATAACTATAACTTTCAACAGCGTTTGGGTTCGAAGACACGTCAAACATCAATTTAAATAATATTTTACTAAATTTTATTTTTAAGTCAATTTTGACGAATGAACTAGGTCTAGGATTAAACAATTAAAAAACAGTTATTAGTTCTAATATGACACAACAAACGAATTTGTTATTGAACTTTCACAACAAATTTATAATAGTCGAAATTAGAAAAATACAAATATAACTTTGGATCACTGACTCTGAGCTTCAAATTTGACAGAGAACATGTTCAATCCTTGGTATAAAATAAATTATTTATGAATAATTATATATAAGAAATATTTTCAAAAGGACTAATAATGTTAAATATTTGGTAATTTAAATACTGGCAATGCTCAGAACAGCTGTATGAACAGCTAAAAATATAATTAATTATTAACAAAATTTTGAAAGATTAAAGGATTTGGTACAAAATTTATATTTTGATTTTATTCGTTTTTTCAGGAATGCTTTCTTTTGTTAACCTGTGTTCTGTTAATTTTGAGAATGTATTCCCCTATCTATAGTTTTTTTTCATTACTTTGACCCAAGATCAATGCTTGAAGCACTACACTTTAAAGTGATAATATTGTTTTTCTTTCTTTTTCAAAGGATGATCAAAGTGAATCAAAGTAATGCTTATACAAAAAAAACAAAGAGAAGAACTGAATGGATGTGAGAGTTCTGCGTTTTTTAAGTGGTGATTATTGCGAACAAAAAATTATATGAATTATCGATTTTTTAACAATAAAATGCAAAATATTGTAACACTCTTAATGCCCAATAAATTAAATACAACATAATGCTTGACTTGCTTATTTAAAATTTTAAACGCTACTTACATCTGATTTCACCTATTTTGATGTACAAATCTCCAGTTATCTCATGGCTCTATAACTATTTTAATGATAATCAACCCATCCCGGACTCGGTGGAGTAATACACCACCGGAAAATTCCACTTTTTTTATTGTGCCCAGGTCCATACCCAATCCAAAGTATTTTATAGATAGTAGTAAAACAAAACTACCTAATAACGTCTTTGGAGATATGAAGTCAAATCTCTAGTTTTGTTTGACATATTGAAAATAGTTTCTGTATACCAAAAGAATATAATATTAATACATATGTTTATTAATATATAATATTAAATTTGCTTCAGACACGTTAATAAACTGCAACAAACATCAGAGTATTTTCAAAAGTACTTTAGGAATATCAAGTTTTTAAGAAATATTATATCATATTTTTAAAACTCTTTATTTAGTGCTTGTTATAAGTACATAACATTTTATTTCTAAAGAACATTGGAAAATTACTATGTAAGAAATCTGGAACCATCTTGTGAAATAAGCAAAATCATCATATAAAAAATAGGTAGTTTAACAACTGGCAATTCTCATGCTTATATTAGTATTGCAATGTTATTTGACTTATCCATCTCATTATATTAAAGATATTCACGACGTCATGAAAACTCATTGCAAAGTACACGAAATGAACAGATTGCGCGAGATTACAATGGACAAGAATGGACAAGATATACGCATAAAGTTTCTTACTATTGCTTGCAATTGTGCTATACCTAAACCTATGTATGCATGCTTACAACGAAACAAAAAAGGAAAAAAAACAGCTGTTCTGACATCTGCTATTTCTCATGTGGATATGGTATGCTGCAAAAACAGCTGTTTAATGTTGATCTTGCAATATTAGCAACAGAGATGTTCTCCCACGCTTGCAATTTCAGTATATCATTCTTGCATGTCGTGCACCTAGCAATATTTTTACAGGACAGAGTAAATACCCCTATTATCTTATTTGCATTGCACAGAATATATGGCATTTAAAATAGTAGAAGATTTCAAAGGCCGATGTAAAGAAAATAGAGTATGATAGAAAAAAAATTTCTGACAATAAATGTTAAAAAAATATAAAAAAAAATGTTGAAAAAAATAAAGAAATTAATTTTATTGGAAATAAAAGTCTTGGAACATTTAATTAGACATGAAAGTAATCAAAACGCAGATATATTAGACATCAGTTTAAAGTACATAATATACTACAAATTAATATTAATATTAGTATTAGTATTATAATATAGTAATATAAAAGTTAACCAATTCCGATAAACATTTTTAATTAAACGATTATTCTTTCTAAATACATACTATAAATAGATTGTTCTTTTGAAACATGCATGGGAATAGTATTAATTTTGTTTTACTACTCGTAGTACCTACAGTTAAAATATGGGACATATACAAAAAATTTGCTTAAGGTATTAATATAAATATTAAAAACTTAACAAAGAAACTAACAATCTTTATGTCAAAAATTTATTTAAATAATAAAAAATAATTTAAATATTTTCCAAATATGCAGCAATAATTATTAATTTTTATAGCATAATTTTTCGGAAAATGGCCAATTTTATATATATCACAGATCATATTTAAGCGATTCTTTTCAGTTATTTTTTAAAATAATTGGCCTTCAAAATTAGAATGTGTTCACTGCAATAAATTTGTATAAATCCATCAAAGGAATACTCTATTGCTGAATTATTAATAAAAACTATGAAAACTTAATTTGCAATAATTTATTACGACCATTTTTGAAGAAAGTTAAAAGAACAACGAAGAGGACTTTCGGTAAGTATTATAATTTCTTTGTATTTTGTTAATTAATTGTAAAAACACAATTAAAGTTATTACAGTAATGAAGTATATTTTTGATAGTATGTGAATCAATTAAATAGAAGTACGAATGTATCTAAATTTGTCATTAAAAGTTTACAAGAATATAGGCAGACAATATGTATTATCAATGATTATACATTATTTATTTAATAATCAAATAAAATTTTCAAAAATTGTTGATTGCAGAATCCACTGATTTCCTTTACTCCGCTACATTTGTATAAAAATAACATTTACAGGTCATACAATTTCTAAAAAGCAAAGAATAATTATCATACTATATAATGAATAATTGGTAAAATCTAGCCATCCATGTTAGATAATATATATATATCTTTTGAGTAGTACTAAAAATGCTCTCTTAATAATACATTATGACTAGAATATTTAATTTTGAATTCGATGTAAGTATATTTGTTTATCTACAACTTAAATAATAAAATTTCATTAAAATAATTTATCAAGCAAGCTTACCTCTCTAGCATTGAATATGTAGACCAGGCGTAAATCTGAAAAAGATAAAAATAAGAATATAAGATACAATTATATATAATAAAAAAATATTGGAAAACAAGAATAAAATAAATAAATTAAGCAAAGAGAGGGAAGACATTAAGTGAGCATTGCATATTTAATAACTAAAAGGTTGATTAAGAAGTCTATTAATTATTATTATTATTATTTATTATTATTAATTATTATTATTTTATTAAGAAGTCTGTTACAGTATATAAGATATTTTATTAAATTCCTTAATTACGTGCTAGAAAATTAAGGAATATATATTTTGAACAATTTTTAAGGCTACATAAAAAATTAGTACTCGATGAAGTACTCGATGGAAACAATAAGCATCCCCAGATAATAAAGTTTTTTGTTTTATGATTTTACGTCTTTCTCTTGATTATCCAATTTAATATACTTCACAATATTTAGTAGTTATTATTACTGTTTATATATATTTATTCAAGTAAGATCACACAATATTAAAACTATTATTAAACTCTAAAATTTTTACAGAATCCAGATTCAGCAATGGGGTCCCCATGTGAAGTAAGTTTCGTTAAAACAAATTAATTTTTTATGTGAAATTGAAAGCATTGCATTGTATTAAATTACTATTTATTTTTATATGTTAAATTTCGATACCAATTACTTTTATCTATATATAAAGTTATTTAAAGTTTTTAAGGGTTTCCCAATTAACACATTTAACATATCGAAGCATTAACCACAAATCAGCGTTCCGAAATATGAGTGCCCGAATCTTTTGGACTAAACCGCTTTTTTTCGTTTCTAGAATCTTTATCCTACACTGAGACTACGTTATTATTACCATCAAGTAGTTCTTTGAAACTTTCATCATATGACTAGTGACTAGCGACAAGTGTTTCGGGTGCATTATCCTTGTCTACCATTTTAGCTTGATCTAATTGCTTGCTCGAGCCTCTTTTTGTCTAATTCTAGTTTCTTTACCCTTAGATGTTTTTAGCACACACTATCTCTGTTAGAAATTATACAGTTCAATCCACACGCAGTTTGAAATTATACGTTAAATCATAGAACTCAGTTCGTTTACGAAACTAATATGCAATAGTACTGAAACAGCCTGAAAAAACCATAGTTTATATTCATTAATTTTACAACTTATTTTATTATAACAATGTATCAATCATTATTAAAAATGGTTATTTCAAATTAAAAATATATCCAAACTACAAAATTAAAAGTGTGCATTAGACTTAATAGAGAGGAATTCAGAGAAGAGCTGAAGTATAATCGATTTCTTCTTGCGGATGCAATGCGTTATACGTGTATTAACTCTAGCTATTCTGACATATTTTCAAAATCTATTCCTAATGTTTAAAGGCATTACTAGTCAAGATCAATTAGGCCCCCGAATCGACTTGAACTGTTATAAATAGTATAATATATAATACATTATATACATTATACATATATAATAA